TCATGTGGTCTTTCTCCTGAATGCATTCTTTGATGCAATTAAAAATTAAAGCAAAAAGCCTTCCTATATTTGCTACATTCACAAAGTTCTCATCTAGTAATTCTCTGATGGTCCATAAGAGATGACCTGGAATTGTCTACATTAATTACAGTACCAAGGATTTTCTTTCCCTTGTATGAATTTTCTCATGTCGAATAAGACATGAACCATGGATAAAGGCCTTCCCACAGTCCTTACATTCATAGGGTTTCTTACCAGTGTGAATTATCTGATGATGAATAAGTTGTGACCTCTGAATAAAAGATCTGCCACATTGTGTACACTCACAAAGTTTCTCACCAGTATTAATTTGCTGATGGTGTGTGAGTTCCCTGCTATGACTAAAGGACTGTCCACATTTCTTACATTCAACGAGAAGGGCTCTGGAATGAATTTTATGATGTCCAATAAGATGTGAGTGATAACGGAAGGCTTTATTACAATTGTAACATTGATAGGGTCTTTCTCCAGGGTGAATTCTCTGATGTTGAATAAGGATTGAGTGGTGATGGGAGGCTTTCCCTATTTATTATATTATAGGGCCTGTCCCCACAATGAACACTCTGATGTCCCTTAATAATTGAACTGTTGCTAAAAGCCTTCCCACATTTCCTACATACATAGTGTTTTTCTTTAGTATGTGTTTTCTCATGTCTAGTGAGTGATGAGTGGTAACTAAAAGTTTTCCTACATTCTTTGCATTCATAGGGTTTCTCTCCAGTATGAATTCTCTGATGTTGAATAAGGTTTGAAGGCTGGTGGAAAGCTTTCCTACACTCATTACATTCATACAGTCTTTCCCCATTATGAATTCTCTGATGTTCAGTAAGTTTTGAGCAACTGCTAAAAGCCTTTCCACAATCCTTATGTTTTAATTTAGTGTAACTTCTCCCATTGTGAGTAAGTGATGAGTGGTAATTGTAGACTTTCCCACATTCACAAGGCTTTTTCTCAGTATGATTTTTCTCACGTAGACTATGGGATGGGTGCTTATTTTCATGGGTGACTGTCACAGGTTTAAGACATTCTTCTTGATTTCCCTGTTCCATCTGAAAATGGTGATTATATTTCCAGTCATCTTGAATAATGGAACACTCAAAGCCATGGCTTTTAAGTCTTTCATTATCTTGCACTGACGTGACTTTATTTTGTAATTGTCATCCTTTGGTGATAACTCCTTTGTCTCACACTGGGACTTCACAACTGAAAGATAATAAGAAAGCAAGCACATGTCACTTTTCCTAATTTCTAAAATAGGAATACGTACACAATGCCTATAAGAAATGAGTGACTTAGAATGCTCTCAGATATAACCATGGAAGATGAGAGTGGACACAGAAGGTGATTAGAGAGGCAGGTTGACTCAGTGTTTCTAAGATGTTGCTGCAGATCAGAATTACCGGGAAGCTTGTTAAAAATATAGATGGTAAAAACGCTCAACAAAATAGGTATAGAGGGCAAGTACCTCAACATAATAAAGGCCATATATGACAAACCCACAGCCAACATCTTACTTAACAGCAAGAAGCTGAAAGCTTTTCCTCTAAGATTGGGAACAAGACAGGGATGCCCACTCTCCCCACTGTTATTCAACATAGTACTGGAGGTCCTAGCCACGGCAATTAGACAAAACAAAGAAATACAAGGAATCCAGATCGGTAAAGAAGTCAAACTGTCACTATCTGCAGATGACATGATGTTGTACATAGAAAACCCTAAAGACTCCACTCCAAAACTACTAGAACTGATATCACAATACAGCAAAGTTGCAGGATACAAAATTAATGAACAGAAATCTGAGGCTTTCCTATAAACTAACAATGAACTAACAGAAAGAGAAACCAGAAAAACAATTCCATTCACAACTGCATTAAAAAAAATACCTAGGAATAAACCTAACCAAGGAAGTGAAAGACCTATACCCCGAAACGTACAAGACATTCTTAAGAGAAACTAAAGAGGACACTAACAAATGGAAACACATCCCATGCTGTTGGCTAGGAAGAATTAAGAATTAATATCGTCAAAATGGTCATCCTGCCCAAAGCAATCTACAGATTTAATGCAATCCCTATCAAATTACCAACAGCATTCTTCAACGAACTGGAACAAATAGTTCTAAAATTCATATGGAAACACCAAAGACCCCGAATAGCTAAAGCAATACTGAGAAGGAAGAATAAAGTGGGGGGGATCTCACTCCCCAACTTCAAGCTCTACTACAAAGCCACAGTAATCAAGACAGTTTGGTACTGGCACAAGAACAGACCCACAGACCACTGTAACAGAATAGAGTCTCCAGACATTAACCCAAACATATATGGTCAATTAATGTACAATAAAGAAGCCATGGACATACAATGGGGAAATGACAGTTTCTTCAACAGCTGGTGTTGGCAAAACTGGACAGCTACATGTAAGAGAATGAAACTGGATCATTGTCTAACCCCATACACAAAAGTAAATTTGAAATGGATCGAAGACCTGAATATAAGCCAGGAAAACATAAAACTCTTAGAAAAAACATAGCCAAAAATCTCTTGGACAAAAACATGAGCAACTTCTTCATGAACATATCTCCCCGGGAAAGGGAAACAAAAGCAAAAATGAACAAGCGGGACTATATCAAGCTGAAACGAAAGGATACCAGCAATAGAACAAAAAGGCATCCTACAGTATGGGAGAATATATTCATAAATGACAGATCCGATAAAGGGTTGACATCCAAAATATATAAAGAGTTCAAGCACCTCAACAAACAAAAAGCAAACAATCCAATCAAAAAATGGTCAGAGGACCTGAACAGTTCTCTGAAGAAGAAATTCAGATGGCCAACAGACACATGAAAGATGCTCCACATCACTAGTCATCAGAGAAATGCAAATTAAAACCACAATGAGATATCACCTCATACCAGTAAGGAGCGCCACCATCCAAAAGACAAACAACAACAAATGTTGGCAAGGTTGTGGAGAAAGGGGTACCCTCCTATACTGCTGGTGGGAATGTAAATTAGTTCAACCATTGTGGAAAGCAGTATGGAGGTTCCTCAAAAAACTCAAAATAGAAATACCATTTGACCCAGGAATTCCACTCCTAGGAATTTACCCTAAGAATGCAGCAGCCCAGTTTGAAAAAGACAGATGCACCCCTATGTTTATTGCAGCACTATTCACAATAGCCAATCAATGGGAGAAACCTAAGCGTTCATCAGTAGATGAATGGATAAACAAGAGTGGTACATATACACAATGGAA